CTGCTGTCCACAAGGCTCCCATGTGGCCGCCATCTTTCTTTCCAGAGAGGAGAGGGCGAATGGGGCAACACCCTTTCCCCTCCGGCAGACTTGATGGCCTGGGTCAACGCATAGTCCGTTCACTTTTCTGCTCCAAGCTGCTGGGTTCTGCATTAAGTCCTTGGGCTTCTGGGGCCGTGGCCGTGCTGGAGAGCCACTCGTGGGGGGTGACTGGTGACCTCGGTAGGGCGTGAAGGACGGACCGGAACGCCCCCCTTCCCATGAGGTTTTAGTCGCCCCCACACCCCCAGCTCATACCTGCTGTCCACGAGGCTCCCATGTGGCCGCCATCTTTCTTTCCAGAGGGAGGAGGGCGGAAGGGAGCAACACCCTTTCCCCTCTGGGCAGAAATGATTGCCTGGATTAACGCATAGTCCTTTCACTTTTCTGCTCCAAGCTGCTGGGTTCTGCATTAAGTCCTTGTGCTTCTGGGGCCGTGGCTGTGCTGGAGAGCCGCTCGTGGGGGGCAACTGGTGACCTCGGTAGGGCGTGAAGGGCGGACCGGAACGCCCCCCTTCCCATGAGGTTTTAGTCGCCCCCACACTCCCGGCTCATACCTGCTGTCCACAAGGCTCCCATGTGGCCGCCATCTTTCTTTCCAGAGAGGAGAGGGCGAATGGGGCAACACCCTTTCCCCTCCGGCAGACTTGATGGCCTGGGTCAACGCATAGTCCGTTCACTTTTCTGCTCCAAGCTGCTGGGTTCTGCATTAAGTCCTTGTGCTTCTGGGGCCGTGGCTGTGCTGGAGAGCCGCTCGTGGGGGGTGACTGGTGACCTCGGTAGGGCGTGAAGGATGGACCGGAACGCCCCCCTTCCCATGAGGTTTTAGTCGCCCCCACACTCCCGGCTCATACCTGCTGTCCACAAGGCTCCCATGTGGCCGCCATCTTTCTTTCCAGAGAGGAGAGGGCGAATGGGGCAACACCCTTTCCCCTCCGGCAGACTTGATGGCCTGGATTAACGCATAGTCCTTTCACTTTTCTGCTCTAAGCTGCTGGGTTCTGCATTAAGTCCTTGTGTTTCTGGGGCTGTGGCTGTGCTCCAAACTTAACTCTGACTTTCAGAGAGAAAGATTGGGTGGTTTACTTCTCATTGATCACTTTGTATATAGAGAGATGTCGCGCGGCCATCTGGGGGAGGCGGGATGCGGCACCTACTCCATCTGGAACTTGCGGGTGATCTCGGCTCTTTTTGGAACCTGTTTTTTCTTTTTTTTTTTTCCTCCGGGATCCCGCACCCTCCATGTGTTCTTTCTCTTATGCTGAACGCTTCAAAGATGGCGCTGGGGGGCGGGCTGTGGGCGTGACTTCCGGAATCAGAGGTTACCTGGGAGGTGTAGTCCGGCAGATTTGAGAAAAAGTCCTCGTTCCCGCATACTCGAGCTGTGTTTGTAGGGGCTTCTGGTCACCGGGGTTCCATCTGGGGGAGGCGGGATGCGGCACCTACTCCATCTGGAACTTGCGGGTGATCTCGGCTCTTTTTGGAACCTGTTTTTTCTTTTTTTTTTTCCTCCGGGATCCCGCACCCTCCATGTGTTCTTTCTCTTATCGGTATATTGCTTCTTCACACACACTTGTAACCTTTCTTTCTTGTTTCCTTATACTAGTTTGACAGGTACCATCTAGGTCTCAAGCTGCCATTCTGCTGATCCATTACCTGTTCTAGAATCTGGCCTCTTAAATTGTATCAGGATGGGGTTATGTAACTGAGGGTTGGGTTGGTGAAAATGTGACAGCCACAACTGGTTTCTGAATGTTTAACTCAATATCCAGTGTGTAGTTAATTAGATGTTTGTTTTGTTTTTGTTTCTGTTTTTTTTTTTTTTTTTGCATCACACCCAGTGATGCTTAGGGGTTACTCCTGGGTCAGCACTTGGGAATTACTCCTGGCAGTGCTTAGAGGACTGTATGGAATACCAGGGATTGAACTCAGGTTGGCTGTGTGTAAAGCAAACGTCCTACCTGTTGTGCTATCTCCTTTGGCCTAGATGTTTCTTTTTTGTTTTGTTTTGTTTTGGGGGCCACACCTGGCGTAGTGCTCAGGGCTTACTCCTAGCTCTGAGCTCAGGGATCACACTTAAGAAAAGGCTCAGGGACATATGGATCAAACCCAGGTCAGCTGCATGCAAGACAAGGGCCCTACCAGCTGCTATTTTTCCCCTACCCCTTTTTTGGCTATACCCAGCAATACTCAGGGCTTACTCCTGGCTCTGTGCTCAGGAATCACTTCTGGCAGGGTCAGGGGACCTTTTGGGGTAGTGAGGATCAAACCTAGGTCATCTGTATACAGCCCCATCAATTCCCCCTTTTGTTGGTCCAGCGCCCCCACTCCAGGGGTGGTTTCCCAACTTAGGAAACTGCAGTACAGGTCGCTGGGAATGATGGCCCCTGGAGGTATTCAGAACTATGCACATATTAATTAGCATGGTAACTTGTAGACATGAGTAACTCTTATTATGGGGCAGTTTTCTGAATTATCTGGGCAGCCTAGGATAATCATAATGTCCTGATAAGAGGAGGGAAGGTGGCACCTCAGAATCAGAAGACGTGAGGACAGACGCAAAGGGTTGGAGTGAAAAGAGGAGTGGACCCCAAACCAGGAATATCCATGGCCTTTAGAAGCTAAAAAAGGCAAGGAAACAAATTTAAGGGCTGTCGCCTACTGACATTGTGCTTTAGACTCTGGCTTCTACAGTAGCAAGAGCGTACGTTTGTGTTATTTGGTTTTTCCTGTGCCAGGAATCCAACCCAGGGCTTCATGCCTATAAGGTGACTGCTCTGCCCTGCAGCTGTACCTCGGTACATTTATACATTTGCACACTTAAATGTACATTGTACTGTCGTTTGTTTTGTTTAGGGCTGCACACCTGACTTAGTGCGGGGCTCCAAGCAGTGCTAGGAGTTGAACCTGGAACCCCTGTGTATACTCAGTTCTTTGACTCCCTGGCCCCTATTAGCTACTTTCCCACCACTGTAGTTGTAATAATTTCAGTTTACAAGAGCAGTGGGAAAACATACAATCTATTTCATTCATTTCTTTCTACTATTTCATCTATTTCTTTCTACTGAACTGGGCTTTTTTTTTTCGGGGTGGGGGGATGGAGGCATACCTAGTGAGACTCAGGGCTTACTCCTGGATATGTGCTCAAGAACCATTATGGGATGCCGGGGATCAATCAATACGGGGTTTGCCCTACCCTCTGAACTCTGGCCCCATAAATTGTTTTTTTTTTCTTAGAATAATTTTCTCTTTTGAGGAATTGGGACTACACCAAGCAGTGCTCTGTCTACTCCAGGGTTATGCTCTGGGTCACTTCCAGTGGTACTCAGGGAATTGTGCAGTGCTAGGAATCAAATTTGGGCCTCTTTCACACAAAGCATATGCTCCAGTCTTTTCTGCTATCTGTTGGGCTCCTAAACTGGTAAAGTCTTAGTTCAACTGAGGTTAGCTGTCTTTGGCAAACATATTTTATGGGTGATGCTGTCAGTTTCCTATTTCCTCCAATCAGATGATGAGGAAGTTTCAAGTTGTCTCATGTTCCACGAGACTGTATTTGATTGGTTACCTTGGTTACTGTGAGATCTTTTATTGGGAAAGACAGTTCCCTTTTCTACTTAGCAAGTAAACTGTGATTGAGTTTTTGGAACATTCTATTTATTTTTACTTATCCATGTTTATTCTCTGTCTCTTCCCTGGAAATAGGGCAGAGACAGTTTTATGTGACATTTGTCACCCTTATCTCAATGTCATATTCTCTTGCTTGGCATTATGATTGTTCTCCCTTGTGAGGCTCCTAGGGTAGCGGCTGTCTCTTGCCCACACACATATCACTTTAGAGTCAAAGTTCTGCCAATTGGACATTTGTCTAGGTTGGCAAGGGAGCAGAAGAACCCCAAACCACAGTGATTCCAGCTTAGAATGTCAGGGTTAGAAAAGACATAAGGGAGCCAGGGTGATAGTACAGTGGGTAGGGCATTTGCCTTGCACATGGCTGACCCAGGTTCAATTGCTAGAACCCCATATCGTTCCCCAGCCGCTGCCAGTGTTGTGCTGGTGCAAGCCGCGAATGAACAGAGAGAGAGACAGCTCAGGATAGGATACTGAGTTTATTAGACAATCAGTGCTGAGGACCCCAAGTCAGAAGAGAAAGACTTGGAGCCCCGTTCGCTGAGATCTCTCTTTTATTCTCTAAAGGTGGGCTACAATCTACGTACATTCTTATCTGTTAACAGGGGATACAGAGGCAATAAGTAAAAGAAAAACTATCAATGCATAGTTCCCACATGGTACAGCCTTCAGGTGCTCAAAAAGTCAGTGTCAGTATATCTTGCCCATTTTTGGTGCGGCCTTCAGGTACCATCTCCCGTGCACTCCCATAAATCTATGGGGCCCAGTGTGCTAACGTCAGTCTGGTGGGCTGCTGGGCCTTTAACTCGGTTAATTAGGGTCCTAAAGGAATGTTTCTCCCTCCCTTCCTCTTGTTTAACTTAGGGGGTCAGTTTTAGTTCCCCAGTCTCCATCATATTTTCTTAATTTTCATTACAGTTTCATATTCCTCATTACATATAGCTTCTTATTTGTCATTATAGCCAGGAGGAACCTCTGAGCACTGCTGGGTGTGGCCCCCCCAACCCAAAAAAAAAGATATAAGTGGGAAAGAGGTGGTGAGCTGCACCACCACACCAAGCCCAATACCCCTTTTTTCATTGCTTTTGGGACAGACCTATTTGTGCTCAGGTCTTACTCCTGGCTCTGCACTCAGGGATCACTCTTGACAGGACTTGGGGGACTATATAGGATGCAGGTGATTGAACCAACGTCCGCCACGTGCAAAGCAAGTGCTCTGCCTGCTTTATTATTGCTCACACTTCTGATGTCCCTCTTTAAGAGACAGGAAATGTTCAAGGTTTCTTGACATGTCTTCTGTTCTGTCATAGTCAGTGACTCTTCCAAGACTCACGGGCAAGCCCCCGTTGTCTCATCACCTTCAGAACACCTGTTCTCCATGGCGCTGTCCAGGAAGGGCCCTTTCAGTACTCCCAGCACTCCAGTCCTCGAAGACATCCCCCAGAATGATGACGAGAAGGAGCGCATGCAGCGGAGGCGCTCCAAGATCTTTGACCTGCAGTTCAGCACAGACTCACCCCATCTGCTAGCCTCCCCCTCCAGGAGGTGCGTGCAGCCTTGCGGCCTCCTTGGCCCAGCCACCCTGATCCAGGCATGAGTCGGGGAGCTGACGTGTCTAGTCACTTGTGGACCTGCCTCTGGATCTTGAAATGTCAAATGGGTCCTCAACTGATTTTGTTTGCTTGCTTTTTCCCCTAGGAATGCTGACATTTCAACTTCTGTTCCTAAATTTACCAACACGCAGATTACAGAACATTATTCCACCTGTATCAAGCTGTCCACTGAAAATGTGAGTACCTGCCAGGTTACCTTGGACAGTTTCACAGCGTGGCTGGAGGCGAAACATCCTCCTGGTTGATGGAATCATTTGCACTCCTGCTCTGGCTGGTGATTTCCACTGATTCCCGAAGCCTTTGTTGCTCCTTCTGTGGGTTGTCTGCAGTGTATTGAGAGGCAGCATGGCTGCAGGGTCAGTGGTGTGAGTTCTGGAACAAGATAGAGCTAGAGAGTGGAATGGCACACTCGTTGAGTTCTGGAGTTAACCCGAGTTGAAATTGTGTCTTTGCCACTTACAAGTTGTATGGCCTTGGCAGGTCACCAGCCACTGTCGCGGGCCCTCTCTCCAGTGACAGCGGAACCTGCCTGCGAGTGAGCCTCCCCTCTGTGGGCAGTACTTCCATCAGGGCCTGCATGCAGTGAACTCCCAGGGGGTCTGTACATTTGAGAGTGAGGTGATGTGGGTTAGAATTCAGCTGTGTAACAAAGTATTTGTGGAATCTGAGTTTTGTGGTGAGATGTGGGATATTTCTGTCTAAAAATGTAACTGCCTATCAGGGTTATATATGTGAGTTTAGACTATTAATAACCTGACTTTCTGCAACTTTGTTTTCAGAAAATCACTACCAAGAATGCCTTTGGCTTGCACTTGATTGATTTTATGTCAGATATTCTTAAGCAGAAAGACGCTGAACCGACCAACTTTAAAGTAAGAAGGATGTTCACTCTTCTATCTGTACTCATAATTTTTTTTAAGTCATCATTTCCAGTACTCAGCTTGGCACATTAAATTCTACAAACACAAAAGAACACCTCTGTTATGACATTTTACTAGCTGCTCTGCTTTCTTTTCCCACCTGATGAAATGTAAAGAAGATATCGTTCTGTTTTGTTGTTTCTTCCTTTTCGGTCTTCAGGGAATCTTAGGTGTTCTTTGTTTTTGTTTTGTTTTGTTTTAAGGGTTTGTTAGTTTTCTGTGAAGCTTGCTGTTTTGCTTGTTCAGAAGTTCCTTTTCTGCTTGTTTGACTAGGTGGCAGCTGGCACACTTGATGCCAGCACCAAGATCTATGCTGTGCGTGTCGATGCCGTCCATGCTGATGTGTACAGAGTTCTGGGGGGACTGGGCAAAGATGCAGCGCCCCCAGAAGAAGGAGAGAGCCACGTTGCCGGTACATGGTTTGGGATGGGGACAGAGGAATCATTCAAAGGTTGTAGTCTTCAGTTATTTGAGTAATGTTTTGGAATGAGGGCTGGAGCAATAGCACAGCGGTAGGGCATTTGCCTTGCGCACAACCAGCCTGACTGAGCCAGGTTCGATTCCTCCGCCCCTCTCAGAGAGCCCGGCAAGCTATGGAGAGTATCTCGCCCGCATGGCAAAGCCTGGCAAGCTACCCGTGACGTATTCAATATGCCGAACACAGTAACAACAAGTCTCAAAATGGAGATGTTACTGGGCCCACTTGAGCAAAATCGATGAACAATGGGAGGACAGTGTTTGTTTGGAATGAAGTCACCAAAAAGTCATCTTTCCTTTGAAAACAGGGATATTTTCAGCGTTGTGTTTAAAAATAAGCTTAGACACCAGAGTAGTTTTCTCTGAAAAAGAAGAACCTTTTTTATATTAAAGGCCTCCAGGTGTTAGATAAGATTGAATAAACATCTCCAACTAGGGAGCTGCCTGAATTAGGGATGTTTGGAAAATCAGCTTGGATTATAAACCAGGTACATATTCTGGTAGTCTGGTTTCTCCGTGGCCTCAGTTAGATGTGCATATTGCTTGGAGAGAATAGCATATGCTTTAATTGTTATCGTTCATCACGCTGTCACATTTTGAAGAATATGAAGTAATATTTTAAACCATTGCCTTATGCCTTCTTTAGATGGAAGTGCTCTGGAAGCAGAAACAGCCAAAAAGGCTTTGAAACCAAAGAAGAAGCATTCATATAAAACCATCGAGCAGAATATAAATAACCTCAATGTCTCTGAAGCAGATCGAAAATGTGAGGTGAGGAATTGTATCTATGTGGTCTCTGGCAAATTACAAACCTCCAGGGCTGAGCTTGCCCAGGTGGTTGATGGCTGACTAAATCCTCAAGCAAAAAAAACCCTGTTTTTTCTCTGCATTATCATTGTATTTCTTTTTTCCTTTTTTGGGTCACACCCAACGATACTTAGGGTTACTCCTGGCTCTGCATTCAGAAATTACTCCTGGAGTTGCTTGGGGGGACCATATTGAACTCGGGTCGACCACATGCAAGGCAAACGCCTGATCGCTGTACTATCTCCTGGCCCACATTATCATTCATTAGAATGCCCACTCCCCTGGCCTCGACATGCACCGAGCATCAGCGGCATGGCTTCTGTCACTGTCCACCCTTTAGTGCTCATCACACACATAAGCCCCCAGGGCTGCAGCTGCCATACCAACAGGGCACCCCTCAGCCCCTACCAGTTATCAGCAAGTGTCCCTGGACTCACCTTTTCCTGAAGGTTCTTTCCACCTGCTCGCTTTAACTCCTTCACTTCTCATGAGGCCAATATCACTCTCCAGGAAGCAAAATTAAGTATTGGGAGAGGAGGAACCAAAAAAATCTTAGAAATTATAGTGATTTATGTTTCTCTAAATCTCAACCCTGACAAAAATCTGATTCCTCAGTAATTATCTTCAAAGGGAAGAAGCAGGAACCAAATGTCTAGTCTGGGGGGACCGGGGGCAGCTGGAAGAACTGAGTACAGGATTTCCTCAGGGAGCCCAGCCTCTATCCCCGGGGGCTGTCTGACACCCTGAGCACTGCCGGGAGAGCACCCCCTCCGAAGGGGAAGACAGATTCTGGGTTTATTTTTGTTTTTGATTTTTGGTCTTGGACCACATCCAGTGATGCTCAGGGGTTACTCCTGGCTCTGCACTTAGGAGTCACTCCTGGTGGTGCTTAGGGGACCATCTGGGATGCCAGGGATGGAATCTGGGTCCGCTGTGTGCAAAGCAAATACCCTACCCACTGTACTACCTGTCTGGTTCTGAAGAAGGCTCTGAAGGTGGTGGGAGCATGGCAAAGGCTGAGGAGCCATATTCTAAGGACCTGGAGCCCGCAGAGGGGCACCACTCCCTGTCCTGCTTCAAACGACACTCCCACCTCCCACTGGCCTAGTCCTGGCACAAGGACCTCCATGAGCTTGCTGGACCTTCCAGAAAGTGCGCCTGCCAATTCCCGTACCCCTCAGCTTGGACACACCGTCAGACCTCGCCAGCCACTGCCGTCTGTGCCCTGGTCCTCCAACCCCCTTTGGTGGGGTTTGACTGTGCTCTTGCTAGCTGCCAGTCCTCCAGTTCACTGCTGTCTGGTTGCGGCTTCTCTGTCCCTGGGCACCATCGCTGCTGTGGCGTGACATCTTTTCCAGCAACAACAACAGCTTCACCGGAAGACTCCCAGGACTGAGATCCTTGCTGATGGTGTGTCCATGCCGAGGGGCCTTAACGCCTAGTGACCCTGTCATGTCCTTTGGCTTACTGTGACCTGGCTAGGTCATTCTTCCTGACCCAGCCTTGGGGTCATCTCTGTATGTGAGAGCATTTCAGTAGAAATAGACATTTACAGGGACCGAAGCAGTGGTGCAGTTCTTGCCTTGCATGCTGTTGGCCCGGGTTTGATGCCTGGCATCCCATGTGGTCCCTGCCAGGAGTGATCCTGAGTGCAGAACCTGGAGAAACTCGTAAGCAGCGTTGGATGTGGCCCAAAAACCAAAACGCGAACTAGGCATTTGCAGACAGTGTGGAGCGATAGCACAGCGGTAGGGCGTTTGCCTTGCATGCAGCCAACATGGCCAACCCGAGTTTGATTCCTCCGTCCCTCTCGGAGAGCCCCGCAAGCTACCGAGAGTATCTCGCCCGCACAGCAAAGCCTGGCAAGCTCCCCGTGGCATATTCGATATGCTAAACACAGTAACAACCAGTCTCATGATAGAGACATTACTGGGCCCGCTCGAGCAAATCGATGAACAACGGGAGGACCGTGACTGTGGAGAGGGCAGCAGTAGGGGACTGGCCGGGATATTGTGACAATCTGTCGTGCCCTGTGCCTTTGGCCATGGGCTCAGATGGGCGATCTGTTTCCTCCCAGCCACACATAGCCTTTCTTTGGGGGCTGCGGCCTGTTGGCAGGGGATTTTACCTGATCGTTTGGAAAGCTCCCCCTGTTTCTGATTACACATAGAGGCATTCTGGAATAATGTGTATTCTGGAATTAAATGAGTAGGGTCCAGTGAATGAGGGTTTACATATGTCTTGGCTACCTAAGGAGCTTTTCCCCTCCTCTCTGTTCTTGTATCCAGATTGATCCCATGTTCCAGAAGACTGCGGCCTCGTTTGATGAGTGTAGCACCGCAGGGATATTTCTCTCCACCCTCCGCTGTGAAGATTATAGAAGTGAGCTGCTTTTCCCTTCAGATGCCCGCACTCTGTCCGCTGGAGAACCTCGTGAATTACCAGATTTGGGATGGGTAGATATGACAGATTTAAAAGGTAAGTATGGGGCTGGAGCGATAGTCCAGCAGGTTGGGTGCTTGCATTGCGCATAGCTGACCCTGGTTTGATCCTTAACATCCCCCATGGTGCCCCGGAAATCCTCCAGGACTGATCTCTGAGTTCAGAGCCAGGAATCATCCTTGAGCACTAGAGTGTGAGGCCCCCAAACAAGCATCTGAAGTGTGCAGAGCACAACGTCTTTCCCCAGAGCCTTTCAATAGCAGGGTATGGTTCTACATAACTGTGGGGTGTAGAATGCCCTGATGCTAACATCACGTTGCTTATGTCAGTGACACTGGAGCTTCCTCTAGAATGCCATATTGGGCCTCTTTTGGGGACAAACTGCCTTCCTGGCTTTTCTCAGCCTGGAGTCTAAAACAGGAGCTAACACCCACCATTGTTTAGGTCACAGTCAAGTAAGTGTCCCCAGTCAGTTGTTGGTTCCCACTGTCATTTAGGGGATCTTGGCAGGGCTTTATTTTTTTCCTTTGTTCCTTGGGGGCCTTGTCAATGATACTAGGGACTGTCAGGGCTATACCCAGGGATGCTTGGGTGGCCAGGTGATGTTGGGGATCAAACCGAGGCCCTTGCCTGTGATCCAGCTGAGGAAAGGAGTATTACAGAAATTTTATCAGGGTAGGAGTAATAGTACAGTGGGCAGGATGCTTGCCTTGCATGCTCTTGACCCTGATTCGATTCCCACCACTCCATATTGTCCTCGGAGCCCTGCCAGGAGTGATTCCCTGAGTACAGAGCCAGGAGTAAGCCCTGAGCAGCGCTGGGCAGGGCCCAAAAAGCCACTCTCCCCCCAAAAGAAACATTCTGTCGAGGGGCTGGAGCGATAGAGTGGGTAGGGCATTTGCCTTGCACGTGGCCAACCCGGGTTCGATTCCCAGCATCCCATAGGATCCCCTGAGCACTGCCAGGAGTAATTCCTGAGTGCAGAGCCAGGAGTAACCCCTTGTATCGCTGGGTGTAACCCAAAAGGCAAAAAAAAAAAAATTATCTCGCCAGAGAAATATTGCTCCAGGGTTCCTGAGGAGATGAGGGTGTTGCATATTGGTCTCACACTCACACTCCTGTGTTATCCTGAGAACAGACTTGTTCTATTGCCCATTCCTCATCCTGGCTCGGCAAGGAACTATAACCCCCTCCAGTTCCTGTGCCTGGAGCAGTCTGAGACTCTTTGAGCAGCACAGGTGAGGGTGAAGGCTGGACTCACCATGGAACCTTCAACCAGGTCATCTATAGCTCCTGTAGTTTGGGAGTGAACTTAACACCATTACCTAACGGGATATACATGCAGGGCTTTGGACTACTGGACTCTGAAGGTCTCTGAGTCACTTATCTGCTCTGATGGGCCGTGCCCCAACCCCTCCTGGCTGGTGAAGCAGGGCCCTCTTGCACCCTCTCTGAGCCAGCTGTGGTCTTCTGTCCTCTCCAGGCACCCTGCAGCAGTGTGCAGAAGACCGCCCCATCTGCCCCTCGCTGGCTGGCTTCCAGTTCACTCAGTGGGACAGTGAGACACACAATGAGGTAGGCTCAGCTTTGGGGCTTCTGGGGCATCCCTCCAGCACTTCATGGGCTCAGTGAGTTGACTCCAGATTAGCTCTGCCCAGTGGGAACTAAAACTGGTGCACTTTTCCGTAGCCAGGAGTACAGAAAATATTTCTTTTGGCAATGAAGATTATTTTCATTCACGAGGAAGGAAAAGTGGAGGGGGAAGAAAGGTTGTGAACTTCTGCAGGACCCGTGGACGGCTAAAGAGATTCTGGGCTCAGTGTGGGGCTCCCTCCCCTTGCTCCAAGGGACTGGCAGACCCTCTGTTCCTGGGCAGGACATGTTTGCAATCTGATTTGCTCCTCAAAAAAACCTGTCACGGTAGCCTCTGGCTTTGTTTCCACATTTTTCTTTTTTTGTGGGGAGGGGTTTCCTGGTGGTACTGGGGGTCACCAGGACTACCCCTCATGGTACTCAGGAGGCTGTGTGGTACTGGGAATTGAACCCAGGGCTTGGTACATGCCGGTGCGCACTCTAGCCCTTTGAGCCATCGCCCTGCTCCTGGCCTCTGGTTTCTTAGGCCACTGATAAACTCGAGGAATTTCCTGCTCTTCCGGGTGAGTCTCTGGGCACAGTTTTCTGAGAAACAGTCATGTGTAAAGCTGTCCTCTCTCCTCTGTATTTTTAGCAGGCCCCCTTTAGCTTACTTCACACGGTTTCCAAAATAAATGGTCTCCATGGCAAACTGTTTTCTCTAAACATGCAGTTAATGGATGCAGATTCCTGTTCATGTTTTACAGAATGTGTCTGGCAACAATACTCCATCCTGTGCCACACAATATAAACTTCCTCAGTGCTTTACTAGCATGAGAACTCGTGTGTGGGGGAGGGGTACAGGAAATTGGGTTTTCAGGGTAAGGAGGCACAGCTACTCAGGCCTTTCCTATCTTGTGGCTGGGCTGGGCTAGGCTGGTTCCAGGGATGAGGTCCAGCACACAACTGTCTTTTTGTTCCCTGCAGTCTGTGTCAGCCCTGGTGGACAAATTTAAGAAGACTGACCAGGTGTTCGACGCTGATGCTGAGGTGGAGGAGAGTGACGGTGGGGACTTCCCTGAAGAGCCACTGAATGATGACTTCGATGCCCACGATGATCCCGACCAAACCGCTTCCGGGGACCGCACTGAGTTCCGAAGCCAGGAGACACCCTGCCATACCCAGAGCTGCCAGTAAGGCTGTTTGGCACATGAAACACGTTCCCCTCGGTGTTCAGCACCAGTGTTGGCACCGTCTGGTCACCTTGGAGTGCCTGGGCTGGTGTGCCAGGCTGCTCTGACTTGTATTGGTCGCTCACCTGCCCCTGATGTGTACAGCTAGGAGTGTAAGCACAGATCAGATTCCTCAGGTGTTGCATTTCTACGTTCTACACAAGTCTGGTTTCCAGTCCAATTCCTCCTTCCCTGTAGAGAAGCAGGCTCTGCTCTACATCAGCAGTAGCAGCCCATAGGATATAGTGAGTATGTAGTATAGTGAGCAGGGTGCTTGCCTTGCACACAGCAGTTCTGGGTTCAACCCTCAATATCCCATATGGTCCCCGGAGCATATTCTGCACTCAGAAATTACTCCTGAGAAACCCCTGAGAAATGCCAGGTACAGCCCAAAAACAAAAAAAAAGACTTTTTTTAAAAAAATTTTTTAAAACGTAGGGGCTGGAGTGATAGCACAGTGGGTGGGGCATTTGCCTTGCACGTGCCCGGGCCAGGTTCGATTCCCAGCATCCCATATGGTCCCCTGAGCACCACCAGGAGTAATTCCTTAGTGCATGAGCCAGGAATAACCCCTCTGCATCGCTGGGTGTGACCCCCCCCACCCCTCCCACCTCCCAAAAAAAAAGAAAGAAAAAAAAATTTTTTTCTTTTTGAAGGTAGCAGCCCCTGCAGGAGGCCCAGGTTCCATCTCTGGCACCACATGGTCCCCCGGGTATGGCCTAGGAAACCTAATATAAATAAAAACACACATAGAAAAATGGGGGTGGTTTTTTATTTGTGTGTATGGCAGGGAGTGAAGCCAGGGCCTCAGACATGTTTCGGCATGCATGATGTTGCTGAGTATGCCTCCAGGCCTGGATGTGCTGTTTGTTGTTTGGGGCCACACCCAGTGATACTCAGGGCTTACTCCTGGCTCTGCACTCAGGAATTACTCCAGCAGTGCTTGGAGGATCATATGGGATGCTGTGGATCGAACCCATTTGGCCATACGCGGGGCAGCCCCCTCCTTGCTGTGCTGTCTCTGGGTCCTCAATGAGCTCCTTTGAGATCCGCTCCCATTGTCAGGGAAATGCTGTTGCTGAACTAAGGAGCTGGCGGTGGCATGTCAGGAGGCCTTAGGCAGCTCCGTTTGGGTTTTGGAACATGCTGGTTCTGAGTAAGTGCCTCCACTTCTCCAGTCCCAACAGAATGCACCTCAGACTCCACCCTACTGGATGCAGAGGGAGGGGCAGGGGGCTTAGAACCTGACTCAGTGAACACCCCTCCCTGTGGCATGATGATGGGCCTCTCTTGGAAATAAAGTGTTCGGGCCATACCTGGCAGTGCCTGAGACTCCTCCTACCTCAGTGCTCAAGAATGGCTTCCACTGAGGCACAGGGGACCATGTGGTGCCAGGGACTGAACCCAGGCCTCACACATGCAGCACCTGCGCACTGGCTCTTTGAGGTGTCACCTTGGCCCTTAGTAAAGATTTGAATGGACTGAATGTGCTGCTGCCACAGAGCTGTGAGGTGTGAGGCATCCCTTTGTGGCGTCTTTGTTGCATCTTTACAATAAGGGTTGATGGGCCAGAGAGATGATACAGTGGTCAGGGCACTTGCTTTGCATGCGCTGATCCGGGTTTGATCCCGGCACCCCACATGGTTTCCGAGCCCATCAGGAGTAGACCCTGAGCACCAGGGCAAGTGCTGGCAGCAGCTGGGAGGTGTTTCCTGCAGTGCTCCATGGTGTGGTTGAATAGTTCTGAGTTGAAGGAGAGCCCATGTCGGGGGTGCGGCTATTAAAACAGAGCCCCTCTAGAGGGACTGGCACATCGGAAGGGCGGGCTTTGAGAAATGGCCACACTGAACATAAGCTCAGCTGCGGAGAGGTAGGGTCCTAGGTGCCTGTTATCAAATGACTTCATTCAAGCGTTCTGCTCCTCAGACTCCAGGAATTGGAGCCAAACTAGCTTTGCCTATAAGTTCCCAACAAATTTCCAACCCTTTCCCAAAAGTTTTGGAGGGTTGTCCATTAGGATGGGAAAGCTTTTTTTGTTTGTTTGTTTTCCAGAAGCACTTTATTTTATATTTTACATATATATGCATATATATATTTTATGAATCACCATGAGGTACAGTTACAGACTTACAAAATTTCATGCTTACATTTCAATCATACAGTGATTGAGTACCCATCCCTCCACCAGTGCCCATTCTTTACCACCAATGATCCCAGTATCCCTTGCACCACCCCCACCCCATCCCCCCCACCCCGTTCTGCCTCTGTTGCAGGGCATTCCCTTTTGCTCTCTCTCTCCTTATGGGCACGCAGCCAACATGGCCGACCCGAGTTCAATTCCTCTGCCCCTCTCGGAGAGTCCGGCAAGCTACCGAGAGTATCTCGTCTGCACAGCAGAGTCTGGCAAGCTCCCCGTGACGTATTCGATATGCCAGAAACAGTAACAACAAAGTCTCCAATGGAGACGTGACTGGGCCCGCTTGAGCAAATCGATGAACAACGGGAGGACAGTGACAGTCATATCCCTCCTTATGGGTGTTGTGGTTTGCAATGGAGGTATTGACTGGCCATCATTCAGTCTGTAGTCTACTTTCAGCCCACATCTCCCATCTCGAGGGGGCCCTCCAAGCACCCCACACTTGGTGGACAAGAATGGGAAAGCTATTGATGTCACCTGAAGTCGGTATGGTTCAGTTGTTGGTGGTGTGGGCTGGTCATTAGACCTTTAACAGATCAGAACTGTGACTGGGGGCTTGGTTGGCAGTGGACTTTTATTCTTTTCTTTTGGGGGATATGATTTGGGGTTTTGTTTTCATTTGGAGATTCTCTCCTGGAGGTGCTCAGGGGGCACCAGGGCTTGGCTTGGTGGTATTGGGAAGCGAGAGGAGAGGGGGCAGGCAGTGCTAGAAATTGAATGTAGGACCTTACACACTCAAGGCCCTACCACTTGTGCCATATCTCTGGCCCAGGTTTTTTCAGATCAAATTTTTACCACACAGTAAAATATACAAATACTGTTTCGTGATTTTTAATGGAAGATTCTCTAAAGTGTGCCGTGTGGGCAGGTTACACGGCAGAGTCTGGCAAACTCCCTGTGTCGTACCCAATATGCCAAATACCAGTAACAATGATGGGTCTCATTCTCCTAAAGATCCTTGAATATAATCTCAGGGCTAGGATGAAGGAGACGTTACTGGAGCCTGCTCGAGGCAATCGGCGAATAACAGGATGATCTGTGATCTGTGATCTCTAAAGTACAAGACTCTTTAAAGCTTTCTTTATAGTCCTTGTTGTCTCTGCCACTAGAGGGCAGTATAATGACACTGAGGTCCTTGGAGGTGGGCAGGCCAGCAACCTTAGGAGAAAGCTGCTTCCCGCGTTCTGGTGGTGAGTTAGAAGGGGCAAAACTAGGCCAGAACTATTGTGCTGGACTGGCTGGTAAGCCACTTCACTCCGCCAGAAGGAGCTCAATGCTCCTTGCTTGCCAGGGAGATTCAATGGGGGACCTCCCCCCCCCCCCATCATTTAGTGGAAATAGGACCAAATAACATAGTCGTCACATTCGCTGGAAGTGTAACATTGATGGATGAATGATAAGGAAATGGTGCAGGCTCGCCTTGGAGTCAGGAAGCCTTGTATAAGCATTAATCCTGAAGCTGGGATTTGGGCATCTGTTTTCTTTTTCTTTTTTTTTTTTTTCTTTTTGGGTCACACCCAGCGATGCTCAGGGATTACTCCTGGCTCACGCACCACTCAGGAATTGCTCCTGGCGGTGCTCGGGGGACCGTATGGGATGCTGGGAATCGAACCTGTGTCGGCCATGTTGGCTGCGTGCAAGGCAAACGCCCTACCCGCTGTGCTATTGCTCCAGCCCCGCATCTATTTTTTAACACCTTGCTCTGGCATTTTTCTACCTTGTGTATGTGGTATTTGGAGGGAAGGGGGCACGCGTGGCAGTTCATGGGCCTTCTGGCACTGCTCTGGGGTCAGTCTTGGAGGTGTTTAGGGGATTGAGCAGGGGCTGGCCATGTGCAAGGCTGATAACCCCTGTACTATCTCTCCAGCTCCATTGCTGTGTAGTCATAAAAAAACTTAGATTTCTTTCCGCCTCTGTTTGCTTGTCTGTCAAAAGGATAAGCTCGTATTTCATCTAAGTTATAAAATAGAAAATACTGCAGCAGATGTGACTCAGTAGAGGAGCATTTGCCTTGCATGTGTAAGGCCCTGGGTTTATTCCCCAACATGGCAAAATAAATAATGAAAATGTCTTGAGCCGTCTTAAATGTTTATTATCTTATTCTAAGGTTTAGGGAAGCAAGAGCACTTATGAAGTAAAATCTAAGGGATTGTTAATGATAAAATAGTTCTGTTGGCATGTGTTGTTCCTTTGTGGAAATGTGGGTAGGTGGAATATTCCTGTTCCATCACATGCTTCTTTACTTGGTATCTGATTCTACTCTCTGTTGCCATGAACATGAGAGCATGATTTCACATGTGTTACAGGGAAGACAGGATTTCCCTTGGAGATGGAGATATCAGGACCATGTGCCCCCTTCTATCCATGAAACCCGGAGAATATTCCTATTTTAGTCCCCGTACCTTGTCCATGTGGGCTGGCCCAGATCACTGGCGCTTTCGACCGCGACGCAAAAGTGAGTACTCCTCCTAGGTGGAATAGAAGAGGCGGCGTAGAAAGTGGTTTTCAGCTGCCTGTCTGCAGGTGCCAGAGCTTGGGAGCCACAAGCATCAGACAACCAGTCTCCCTGCACTTCTGTGCCTCTCACGATCTCACACTCCAGAGAACCAGCCTTTGTTGGCCTTGTCTGGGGTCGGGGGTCACCTCCAGCTGAGGCGCCTGCACGACTGGGGTCTGGAGAACTTGCTCAAGACCTTGTGCTCCCTGTCATCCATCCCTGGGGCTTCAGACAGTGGCAGGACACCAGGCCCTGGAGGGCCCTTTGGCGCCAGGCAGCACTCTGCAGAAGACAGATGGACAAGTGTGGTGTTTTGCAGTCTCTGGAGAGAAGGGATAGTGTGTGGTTTTTGTTGTGTTAGCAAAACAAGTTTGAAGTTAAGCAAGAATTGCCAATGTACTTAGACACAGATGCTAACTGTGGTGCTCACCAGGCTGTTGTCGATCTTGTGCGATGAAGAAGTAGTTTAGGCCACAGAGGTGGAAACACTTGATGCCTGTGTTTCTTTCTGCAGCGGCAGCTACCTCACAAGCAGAGAACAAAAAGAAAAATCCGAAGAAAGAGTTTGAAATTTGCTTTGATGCAGATATTAACTTTGATGCATATTTTAAAAAAACAAAGGTTCGTGCTACATTTACTTGCACTCGTGCTTTCTATTCTTGTCCCCCTCTTTCCCTCACAGAAGTGATTTCAAGTTTTTTTGTCACTATAAATTTAACTTTAGATAACTGTATATCTTCATATTCTCTCATTCCCTAGAGGGATTGAGAAATAATCCTAAACTTGGTGACAGAATCAGATTTAAAGTATGAATAATGTCTAGCAGTGTCATTTTTTAAAAAAAAAACAAACTTTTTTTATTGAGTGAAGTTCTGTGATTTACAGTCCTGTCAGTGATGATTCCTGTGTACAGGTTTTTGAGCCTCCATCACCAGTGTTCCCACCTCTCTCCTCAAGGATCCCAGCACCCCTCCCTTTCAAATCCACTCCCCCAACACACACACTAACTCAGTCATATGACTCAGCTCTCCTGTTGTGTGGCTCCCTTGCCGTGTATCTTTAAGCCCCACATATGAGACAGATCGCTCTCTGTCCCTTTCCTTCTGACTGACTCTCTTCGGCATGCTGTCCTCTCGTTCCATCCATGTCACTGCCCATTGCATGGTTTTGCAGTCACTCTTGACACACAACTCTGATTGTAGTCTACTGCTGCCCAAATCACAAGCTTCCGCCCTCAGCCCCAGATGTTTTGAGCGTTCTTCCTAAGGTACCTGAACTCCACTCTTTTTAACTTGGAGCAGGCACCCACGGTTCTTACCAAATCCACGCTGGAGAGACGGAACTGGAAAGCCACCACTCTCCCTGCTGATTTCCACTACGATGTGGATCGCCTTGTGCAGCTATACCTGAAGCCGGACACTCGGGTAAGTCTGCAGTTGGCTCCTGGCACTGCTGCCTCGGACAGTCCTCCTGGCACTCACTCCTCTGCCACGCTACTCCTTCCCCCAGTCACCGTTCCTTCATTTTCCCAGGCCCATCTGCTGCCATGAGCGTGCCTGTCTCTGCCACCAGGGCAGCGAGGCTGTGGCTCAGATCAAGTTCCGTTTTGTCTGGACACTGTTGGTTCACATTCCTGCTTGCTCTAGTCTTGGATGTCAAGCCCACAGCCTCCAGTTTCCTCTTCCTTATTTTGCTGCTTCTCCACAAGATCTTTGTGGTATATATACACACTTCCTGAATCCACTCATTTCTCACATTCTCTTTTTGTAAACCAACTAAATGTTTTTAATCACCAGATTTTTCTCTGATCCTTCTCTTTGCTGAAAGGCAGAGTTGAAGCCGCAGTCATGCCTCTGGCTTTGGTCAGTGCTGGTTAGATGCCAGGACGACCTTGCCTGACCAAGGACGGGAGCCCTAAGACGAAAGAGCTGCACTCGAGGCCGTGGGGACATTGCCAGCCAGTCTCGCCTGACTTCCAGCTGCGACAGCCCCTGCCTCCCGGGCTCCTCAGGCCCCCCGCTCTGAGCACTTGGAAAATGAGGCCTAAGTGGCAATTTTTATGTTCAAATACAAAGTGACAGAACAAAGTTTTGGGGGCTCAAGCGGGATAGCTCTGGACCAAGCACAGGCTTTGCATGCAGGAGGCCTGGCTTTGATTCCCCGCTCCGTGTGGTCCCAGAGTACCACTAGGTGTGACTCAAAAACAAAAAATAATAAGGACAGAATTGTTGGATCATTACACACACTCTGAGGAGTTGATGTTTTTGTTTGATTTTTTTTTCCTTTTTTTTTTTTCTAACTATTTCTTTTAGGAGAAAGAACTCCAGACTATCCACAGGAGCAAATTCCCTTGTAGGGCAAGCCAGGTAGCAGAGCTTGCCCAGGAAAATGGTCATTAACTCTAAAAACATGAAAAATCAAATATTGGATCATTAGACACTTACTGTAGAAGGGATGAGGCCTGGACTCTGTTTGCCCATTGCTCTCAGGTTCTTCAGTATTTTCAAGAATGAAAGTTGAAAATAGAAAAGTTTATTGGAAAGTAGAAAAGAAACTCCCCAGCCAGGTAGGAACTCAGTATTGGACTAAGTATGACTCATTTTTGTGGGTTTTTTCAAATAGGAAATCTTGATCTTTGGGTTACTTATTAAATGACCTGGTTGTTCCAAGAACTTGAGGCTTCCCACTCACTTACAGAGTGGTCTGGCTTGTTTAGGGGCTCTTGGCTTTTCTCTTTGACCATCTGGGTGTGAGCCTTTGTACCACCTAGTGTCCCCGAAGCCACACCAGGAATGATCCTTGAGCACAAAGCCAGGAGTAAGTCCTAAGCATCACTGGGTATGGCCCAAAAAAGCAAAACCAAACAAACCATTTTATAAAGATCTCAGCAAAAGACTGTCCCCAGCACGGCAGCCTCCGGGGCAGGGGGGCCACTTGCAAGTTGCCAGTTATTGCTTCGTTTCCTGGGACCCCAAGGTCTGGGGCAGAATGTGTGATCTTGAGGATATTATAAGCTTCCCATTCTAAGAAAGCCCAGAAAATTTGCAAAGCTATTTAAAATGTAGGATGGGTACAGCTGAAATGCAGCTGCTCAATGTAGCTGGTAAGGGGAAACTGAGGCTTCCTCTCACCATTCGACCAAGAGTGTGCCGCTTCACAATCAGCCTGTCAGTACCACTGTTTCCACTCTGTGGAGGGGTCATTTCCCTTCCCAAAAGAGTTCTTACAGGTAATGGGTCATTTCAGTTGTGGCAGACAAATCTTCTGAGTGGAGAGGGGTTTTGAAATTGTATCAGGAACAGGGGAAAAGTGGGAACTTCTCTCTCTTTTTGTCTTAAGAATTTTTTTTTGTCTTAGGAATTACTCCTGGCAGTGCTTGGGCGACCATGTGGGGTGCCAGGGATCAAACCCAGGTCAGGCTTGTGCAAGGCAAATGTCTTACCTATTAGACTATCACTTTGCCTCAAAGTGGGAACTTTTAAGTCCTGTGGATTATGTTTGCCTGAGGTTTTTGGACTTGATTGCCTTTGGAATACACAGTTACATCTAAAATATTCAGTGAGCTGTTGTAACCAGTACACATCTCCCACCCAGTTTCACCCAGAGTGACATGCCACAGGTAAAAGTTGCACGTCTGTGGATCAGGAAATAGCTGAGGGACTATTGTCATAGGAAGTCCCCAGAGAGGACCCACGGGTGTAGCAGGACAATAGCTGTTTCTTCCTGTAGATCCATGAGGATTGTGATTGCCCAGGAATGGGACAGGCTGCCTCTGCACTCAGCTGGTAGCTTGTTGAATCTGAATTGTTCAGCAGTCACACATGACATCAGCAGGTTGTGCTTGGCCATTTTGCTGTTAGTGAAGGACCCTCTTCCAAATTGTGTGTGCAGAGTTCATTGTCAGCCTACCCTCTGGCTTGTTTGGGATGGACAGTGACTCAGAGCTGCCGGCCCAGTCCGCCAGAACAGGATGTAATTAAAGGTTAATGGATTTGGGGGTCCCCTGGGGCCTTATAAGTTAAAATTGTATAATCGGAGATCTACAGCTACTTTCCTAGAAATTGCTTTTCTGCAGTTGTTTTTTTTTTTCCCTTCCTTCTAGGTACTTAAGATGTCCCAAGACCGGAAGACAGGAAGTGTGCATTATGAGGAGATTAAAGACTATGATTACAACAATCCTAATGATACCTCCAACTTTTGCCCCGGATTACAGGTAAAAGGAGAGAAGAGCTCTCACCTCTCTGACAAGTAGAAGAGTCTTTTCCTTCCTGCGTCTGCTCTGTGACAGAAAGCTCTAGAACATTCTGAATTTGGTGGGGGAAACTGCGCAGAGTTGAGGAAGTAGCCAAGGTGTGGCCTGGCCTTCTGCAGCCCTCTGCAGGAAACAGATGAGCACACTCCAGCAGGCCAGTAAGAAGTGGGTAGAGTCTTTAGCCTTCAAAAAGCACTTACTTGACATTTTTTGGCATCACCGGAAAAAAAAAAAAGAATCTCTTTCTGCTCTTAGGAATGCCTATGTTGAGCTTATTATCAAAACATGGCATAAAGACAATGTGGTCCAATGAGCTAGTAGCTCTGAGTTTGGCTCTGAGATCCTGAATGCGGACAAACTCCTTCCCATCCTGGTTTCGCTAGTTATCTCAAGGTCCTTTCTCTGAGTTTACTCATGAGATGCAAATTTGAACAACAAAGGGAGCTAGGACTGGACCCCACAGGTCTCCATGCCCGGAAAGGGGTAGAAAGAGTGGCAAAGCTCTGTGCCCCTTATATTCTGACTTGGCGGACAGCAGGTGGTTACATTTTGGTGTAAGTCCAGACTGACCTCTTCACAGTTGCTTCTCAAGCATCCATCAGCTCACCTAGGGTGCCTAGGAAGAGGTGATGTTCCGTTCCACCCCGCAGGACAGACAGATCCCCCGGGGTTTGTCCTGAGAATGACCTATTCACCAGCTCCTTGGCAGACCTGCTGCCCACAGGCCGTGATTGTTCCTCTGGGCTGCTTTTCATCACTTGAAACTTTCAACTGCTTAGAATCCAAAGGGGACACGACCCGCTGGGATTTCGGATTTCCTCTCTGCTTCTCTCCCTGAAGGCACAGAGAGAAGACAACTAGAGGGGTCCACACACTCCTCTTCGGTTTGACTCTGCTTCTGGTGTCCAAATCGTCTTCTGCAGGGCGTTTTCTACACCCTTAAGTGGCTTCTGCCAAGCTTGAAAAGCTGTTTCCTTGTCTAGGCTGCTGACAGTGATGACGAAGAGCCGGACAACTTATTTGTGGGACCAACTGGGACCTTTGACTTTACCACGTGCCCTCCATCTAATACAGAGCAAGAGAATGGTGATGTGCCCAACGTCCCATTAGACATCACCACTTACAGGGATTCCAATCTGGTCGCTGAGCCTCAGAAGGTAGGGGAGGCCAAGAGCCACCTTCTGTCTTGTTTGCCTGAAGTCTGTTTAATTTGCCTCCTGTGTGAGAGCCAGGTCCAACTGACCTTGATTTTTTTTTTCTTTCTTCATGATTTATCCTGTTGCTTTTCAAGTGGCTGATCCTTTTTCCTAGTTGAGGCCCTGGGGACTTGCAACAGTGTGTCGGTAGTGCAAACTGAACCCCACTCTTCCCATTTGCAGGCAGGTTCTCTAGCACTTTAGCCAAGTGACTGGTTCTTAAATGCAACTATGGGGAATGGGTTCATATACACTAGGTTTGTGTAGGTTAGGTTGTACAAAGGAAGACCAGTGGAACAAGTCAGCCACACAGTACAGTGTATGAATAAGGCTGTGAGCGGAGAACATGGTTTTCTCTGCTGATTAGGTAAAACTGGAATTTTTTTTTTCTTGTGGGGAGACTTTGGGTCACACTTGGCAGTGCTCAGGGCAAACTGTTCCTGGCTTTGCTCAGGGGTCATTCCCGGAGGTTCTCGGGGGATCGTTGGTGGTGCTGGGGATGGCATGGCAAGAGCCTGAACCCCTGTACTGTCTTTTCCTTTGCCACTGGAAATCTTTTTTAAAATTTATTTTGGGCCACATCGGGCAGCACTCAGGACTTCCTCCTGCTTCTCTGCTTAGGAATCCCTCCTGGCAGGGCTCAGGGATTGTCAGGCATGGACCTGGGCTGGAACATACATGCAAGGCAAGACCTTAAATGCTATGCAATCGCTGGCCCTGCCATAAAACTGTCATGCACTCAGCGTCTCAATGATGGTCTTAGGCTTAGTGCTTTCACAGACCCTTGACTAACTTGTCTCTTTTATGCTGATAGTCCAGGTCAGATTTACTGTAGATTGCACATGATTGAACAGGACTTAGAATGAGAGGAGAGACTCTGTCGTATTTCCTCAGCTCTTGATAACTGGTTGGAACAAGGTTCTGTATTTGAGTTCCTGTCTTTATTTTTTGCAGTTAGATGGTAAATGGTTTTTTTGTTTGTTTGTTTTTCTTCTACTTTTGTTTAATTTTGTCACATCCCTATTTCAGGTAAATAAAATTGAAATTCATTATGCCAAAACCGCCAAAAAGATGGACATGAAGAAGTTGAAGCAGAACATGTGGAGTTTTCTGACAGAGCCCTCCAAGCAAGCAGACACCGAGGTAGTGTGTCCCGCATCCTCTGCAGGACCTGTGTAGAAGGGGTCTCGGAAAGGGGCCTCATTCAGTGGCTCCAAGACTGGAAGCGTTTGCTTAAAAATCCAGGAGCAGGGCTGGAGAGATGATGGAAAGGATTAAGATCATGTGCTCATGGGGGGTTCACACAGCCTCCCGTGCACTGACTCGCCCTGAGAATCATCAGGTGTGGCCAGAAAGGCAGCAATGGGATTCTGATCACTCTTTGAATTCAGTGATCCCTGATACTCTATCCCATAGGGATTCTGGTTAATGAGTTCGTTCAGGTGGAGAGTATAGCAGGGATAAAGTGCTTGCTGTTCACGCAGCCAATTCTGGTTCAATCCCCAGCACACAGTATGGTCTCCTGAGTACAGCCACCAGGAGTGATCCCTGCATACTGCTGGGTGTGGCTCAAACCACCCATCCCCAAACACCAAAAAAATTTGTTCCTGTGCCAGGGTGGTAGTCCGAAGGGCTAAATAGCCCGTGGGAGCCTGGGGCTTAATCTCAGACACTGCATGGTCCCCCCGGAGCACTCCAGTGTATGACCCAAATCCTGCCCTGCCCCCAAAATTATTCTTGTTCTAAAGAAAACTTTGGGACTTAAAAGAGAGTTCCAGGGGCTGGAGAGATAGCACAGCGGGTAGGGCATTTGTCTTGCACGCAGCCAACCCGGGTTCGATTTCCAGCATCCCATATGGTCCCCTGAGCAGAGCCAGGAGTAACTCCTGTGCATCGCCAGGTGTGACCCAAAAAGCAAAAAAAAAAAAAAAAAAAAGTTCCAAGGACTGAGCACATATTTTGTAGCTGGTAGCTGGAGGTCTAGGTTTGATCCCCAGCAATATAGCAATATATGGTCCTCATTGGCACTACTGGGAGGAGCCCCCAAGCACTAATGGGTTTGTTCCAAAAGCAAAACAACAAAAAATTTAAATGTGGGGGGGGGGGAGGAAAATTTTTTAAAAAGGAACTCTAAATAAAAAATAATAGCCCACCCATCAAAAAAGCTTGTCTTACAAAAACATTTAAACATAAAATTAGAAAATAGTTTAATGAACGCCCATTTTCAATTACTATGAATATTTTTACCTATACTTTTCCCCAATTCTAAACTTACCCTCCATGTTCTCTTTGTACATAGTTATTTTACATTAGTTCCAGAATTGGAGCCAGAGCGGTAGTATAGCGGGTAGGGCACTTGCCTTGTATGTAACTGACCCAGGCTAAACACTCAGCATCCCATATGGTCCCCTGAGCTTGCCAGAAGTGATTCCTGAGTGCAGAGACAGAAGTAACCCCTGTGCATTGCTGATTGTGGCCCAAAAACAAACCCACAAAAACCCCATTAGTCCCAGAATAATATCATTTGATGACTGCTAGCAAGGAGGAGGGTGTGTGTGTGCGTGTGTGCGCGTGTGTGTGTGTGTGTGTGTGTGTGTGTGTGTGTGTGTGTGTGTATGTGTGTGAGAGAGAGAGAGGGAGAGAGCGAGAGCGACAGAGCACGTGTTGGTGTGTATGAGAATGAATATGTGGGGGTTTTGGGTAGTGGGGATGGGCCATATCTAGCTGCTCAGGGCTTACTCCTCACTCTTACTCCAGGGGATCACTCCTGGTGGTGCTTGGGGACCCATATGCAGTGCCAGGGATTGAACCAGGTTGGCCATGTTCAAGGCAAGAACCTTGCTTTGTCCTTTCAGTCCTGATTGTTTGTAAGCAGAAAGCATGTTTACATTTTTAGTTAGGGATCCTGTGCAGTCCTGTTAAAGCTGTAAATGATCAGTTTTTTGTTACTGTCTTTCTTTCTCTACCTAGATGCCTCTTGGCAGTTCCCCCCCCCCCCCCCCCCCACTTATACAGGCTCTTAACATCCACATTTATGGATAATTGATGTCATGGCCTAGCCCTGAGGCACTGGGTCTCACCTTTTTGTATGTAACCAAGACATTTTTTAGTTTTTGTGTCTTAGTGGGGAGGTCACTCCAGTAGTGCTGGTGGCTACGCCCGGTGGCTGCAGCCCTTTGCGCTCTCTCTTCCTAGTCAAGAAATCACTGAATTCCTTCAGGCGAAGGCTGTTCTGAAGGAGCTGCTCCTATGAAAGGGTCAAGGTACTCGGAAATGTCCTTAACGCTCCTCCTCCCGGCAGGCAAACCACAGTGACCCTGGAGAAGAAGGGAACGTGGTGAAGGTGCACAAGAAGATGCTCAGTGAGCTCACCAAGGACCTTCAGAAGAGGTGGGTTAGGGTCTCTCCCCTCTGCACCCCACTGAGCCACGCACCAGCTGTCTGGTGCTGGGGCGCACACCGTCCTTCCCTTCTTCGTGTCCATGAGTGATCTTATGCACTCCAACTTAAGAAAAGACATATTTTTACCGCTTTTAGCAAGAGTGAACAGGGGATATTTTATTCCCAAATCAGAAACTGGAAGGACCTGCTTATAAAATGCATCTGAAACATTCCTTTGTGTGTTTATACTTGATGAAAGAACCTTTGTTCCTGGCACTGCAATGCCGCTGCTAAACACTGCTCTTTGTCTCACAGCCTGCCTCCCCTCATGGCTCAGAACCTCTCTGTCCCCCTGGCCTTCTCCTGTCTTCTCCACTTAGCCAACGAACAGGTAGGTCAGACTGGTCAGCTGGTGAGTGTTCTCCGCTTGGGGCCTCCTGCCTGGGCTTTTCATCCCTCCTTCCCTGGGTGACCTGGTAGGGCTGTCTTCAGCCCAGCCCTTCCTGGAGCCTTCAGCCCTGAGGAGGAACCAGGCACCGTGAAGTAAGTTAGAAAAAGGCCATCCGGTGCGAGGAGCCAGAGGAGGGTCGTCATCTCGCAGTTCGCAGATGGGGGGTGCGGAGTGCTTTCACCTCTGGGGTGTCGAAGGCTAAAGGCAGGTCTCACCTGTGCATGAGGGGACACGGCGGGAGAGAGCAGTGAGAAGGGCCATGACCCCCTGAGGCCCTAGTGGGGAAAACTTCAAAGGAAAAAGATCATGTCTGGGGCTCCACAGTGAGGTAGGGGGTCCTATTAGAGCAGGGGGCTGCCACCTGTATCTGCCGTGTAGTAGTGACCCTCGGAGCCAGGAATCTTCCCAGAAGTGTTGCCCTCAAGTGTAAAATGCCTCCAGGCTCAGAGACTCTCCTTTGCATTCGAGAAAACTAGTGCCATGGCAAGAGAGTAGCCTCCTGGCCCTCTTGGGTCTCAAGTCTATGGGGCCAAGAAGATGCTGCACAGAGCAAGCCGCAGGGGTCTGTCCCAGTACGTGCTGCGGCCTCTGCCGTGCACTCGTTGCCCACAGTTTCTTGTGGCGTTTATGTTATGTCTGCTGCAGAGATGACGCTACACTAGTCCCTCTCCCTGACCCCAGCATGTCACTCCTTCCTTCCCCCACTGGAGGCCTGTTGGAACTATTTGAGCACCTGTAATGGGTGACATTGGCCCTCACAGTTCCCAAGATGATGGAAATATCTGCGGTAGCTCAGCCATAAGCACAGGCCTTGCCCTACTCAGGCCCTTTCTGGCCTTTGCTGCTGTCCACAAGCACTACCGCTCGTCCCCACCCTTTCAGACACAGATAGAGGACTTGGTTGCCCCACCAAGTCCCAACAGTGTGGCTGACAGCCGGACTGAACTAGTCTGGGGCGCAGGCTGCAGGGACTGTCTCTGGGAGAGTGGATTGATACCTCGGGCCAACATGGCCCCAGCCTCCAGTGCCAAGGGAGGCGAGGTGAGGTGCAGGGAGTGAGAAAGACTAAAAGTCCTGAGGGCACAGCTGCCTGAGCTGTAGAGAATTGGTGGGCTGGGGGGAGGGTCTGCGTGAGGGGAGTGTGGGTGGGGAGAGCTGGCCCAAAGGGGCTGGGTAGAGTGAGCAGGCTGGAGAAGACCAATGTGAATGGGGCTTGTCTGCACTGGGGCTCCTGGTGGCCTCCTAGCAAACTCCTTCCCAGGGGAAAGTATCTGGCAGGCCCCTTGCAGAATGACTGTTGCAAGAACCAGCCTCAATGGCTGCCCCGGTGGTTCCCAGTTACTGCAACGATTTGCAACCAGTTTTATCAGCAAATTTGCAGTGACTTATACTTGTTACCACAGGACAGACCTCGTTCTTCATGGCTTCGTTCTTGTTGCAATCACTCAGGACCTACTTGGTGCCTCACATCTTATATTTGTGTGTGTTTGATCTTCAGAATCTAAAGCTGGAAGGAACTGAGGACCTTTCCGATATCCTGGTGAGGCGGGACAACTTGATTTCCCAGGCAGAGCCGACCTCTGCGGGCTCAGCACTTCCACAAAGGAGCCCCCGTGCAGCAACCATGGCGCCATGAGCTGAAGGGCCTGTGGGTATGATAGCTGCTACCCCCTGCCTGCTGCCCTTGACTCCCTCCCCTTGATGTTTCCTGCCAAGTTTCCTGTGTAGGGAGCCGTGGAAGATCCTGCTCTTACAGAGACCTGTGCCCATTCCTTGTTCTCTGTGTGTACTGTTACCCCAAAGTGAGTCTGTATTTTCCAAATTTTTCTGTCAACAACATAATTCATGCATCTAAGCACATTATTGTATGTGCACTTCTAAGCGTGTTGTGTGTATATGTATATATAATGCTCGAGAATAAAATCATGAACAATCTGCTTTGCAAACTGAGTTCGCTCTATCAGTTCTCCATCTGGTTCTTACCCTTGAAGGGACTGTTTACGTGTCTGGCTAAGGCGGGAGGTGTTGCTGGGCCATGAGGTGTCTTTAGCAGAGTGGAAGAGTCACCAGCAGCATCCACACAGGCATGTCGGGCTTGAGGGGGATATGAGTAGGTGCCCACTGTGGGGGACGCGGTTTAGCTCTCAGTGCTCCTGCAGGGAGTGTGCTGCTAGCATGCCTGTTTCAGGGCCAAGGGAGGCACACGGAGAGGAAGCTGGTTGGCAGGGCCTGGCCTGGACTAGCTTCACTTCTTTGTGTCAACTCCTGTGCTCTCTGCCGATCAAGCCACACACTCGTTACTTGGAGCTTTGACCCAAGAATTCTGTTCTTGGTGGGCCCGGATTACTGAAACATCCAATCACTATTCATGGCCCAGAGAGCTTGAGTATTAGGTCAGAAGCAGGGAAGCTATAAGATACATGATTTCTCATTACAAACTTGTTCCTAAGCCAAAAGCCACATACATGCACACAAAATAAGAATCCGTGCCCTGCCTGGATTACTGTCCAGATTCTGCTTTCCAGATTTTGTCCAAAATATTACCTGTCCTATTTTGTTCTGTTGGTTTTGGGACCAGGCCCAGCAGTGCTCAAGGCTTACTTCTGGCTCTGTGCTCAGGGATAACTATTTTAATTTTTTTTAAATTTTATAAAGTAGTTCACAATATTTGATGTAATATTTCAGATGTTTCCATCCTAAACACAACCCCTGCCCCAAAGCAGAACTGAAATAATTTATGTTGTATTGTTTGTTATGAAAAAAAAAACACCGAAAATGCTACAAAAAGTTTCCTTAGAGGAAAGAGTGTGAAGATTGTTGTATTTCACCCAAGGGTCATTGAGCCCTTCTTAAGAGATCACTAACATGTTAAAGGTTGAGCCTCTTGTGCTTAACGTATCCTACCTGCTGTGGTATTGCTCCAGCTCCATGCTGTTGAACAAGTTGAAAACCACTTACAGGGGCTGGAACGATAGTACAGAGGGGAGGGCACTTGCCTTGCATGTCACCAACCCGGGTTTCATTCCCAGCCTCCCATATGATCCCCAAGCACTGACAGGAGTAATTCCTGAGTTCAGAGCCAGGAGTGATCCCTGGATCCCTAGGCATCACCGGGTGTGACCCAAAAAACCAAAACAAGAAAGAAATCCATTTTACACAATTTCTATTTGTATTTTGGGCCACATTAGCAATGTTCAGGGCTGACTCCTGGCTCCACTCAGGAATCAATTCTAGCAGGGCTTGGGGACTTGGAGAACAAACTTGGGTAGGTTGCATGCAGGACAAGTGCCCACCTGCTGTACTATACCACTGCACCCCCTCTGTTGCTTTTTTTTCTTTTTCCAGTGATCCTCCCAGGGGGTGGGGGGATAGGGGACATGATCTAGTCCTTTGACTCCATCCAGGAAGTACATAAACCTTGTTGGTTTCACCAGAACCAGGTGCAGATGAATACCCCCATGATAGTGGAGGGCCCCTGTGTTGAAACTATGGCCCCAAGAGGGCTCCTTCTACTTGGCTTCCAGCCCCGACCTCCTTGCAGCCCATTTTCTTTTCTTTTTTGCCTGTTTCTAGCATTGCTCTGGGGACCATATACTGGGAATTGAGCAAAGCATGTGCTCCAGTTTTTTGAACCACTCCCCAAGCCCTTGAAGTCTGAAATCAAGTCGCAGTGATGTCAATGTTCGAGATTCAGAAATGAATCCTTTACACCCAAGGGTCGATCCAAGATTGTTAATCGTCGATTGCCTCGAGCAGGCCCCAGTAACGTCTCGTTTATCCTAGCCCTGAGATTATATTCACGGCTCTTTAGGAGAATGAGACCCATCATTGTTACTGGTATTTGGCATATTTGGTAGGCCACGGTGAGTTTGCCAGACTCTGCCCTGTGGGCAGGCTACATTCGATAGCCTGCAAGTTTGTCCAAAGTAGGAATGAGATCCAAAGTAGGAATGAGATGATCCAAGATTGATCCCCGGCATTTCATAGGGTTCTTTGAGCACCATCAGGGGTGATCCCTGAACACAGAGCCAGAGGTAAATCCTGAGCACTGCTAGGTGTGGCCCCAAAACCACACCAACCAAACAACAGAAATGAATCTGAGTAATAGGTGACCATCAGTACAAGGTGACTCGAGGCTATGCTGCACCTAGGAATGCCCCCAGTGCTAACTTACAAACCCTTTGACGTCAGTAGTCAGCACCCATCTTCTGATTTTCATTTGAGAACTCTAAGCTTCAGAGAGGGGCCAAGTAAAGTGGCCAGACACTCGGTCTTGCTCTCTCTGCCCCCATGGGCATACCCCTCGCAAGCCTCAGTGCCTTCAGATGCCAGAAGGGGAGTCACTGGGGCCTCTTAGAGAGCAGCTGGCTTGATGTCCGGCTTGTCACAGTGGGTGCTGAGGAGCTGAGGAAACGCTGGGTATATTTTTCCTGCCTGGGGCTGCAGCCGTCAAGCAGATGAACTAACTGGGTGTTTGGACTATGTTTCATGGGGTCCTCCACACCCCCCAGCAACCTCAAGCAAATTGCCTTTTCTCTTTCCAGGATTTCAGAACCAGCCTCTCTTTGTACCTTCTCACTCCCAGCTTGTTCTCATGTTCCTGAACCTATGCTTGAGACCCTGTTTCCCAGCCTGGGAGCTGCAGTATGCCCTTCCCGCAGAGCCTTCCTCCAGCCTCCGCCTTACACCAGCCCTGCCAGCTCAGGCATCTTTGCAGCCCAACTCTGAAACACTCCGGGCACACACTGGGCACATTCTGGGCAGTCAGGTCACACACTCGAGGCATATGCAGGGAACACTGCATTCTCTGGGCACCATCTGGCACACATCGGGCATACTCTGGGCACTCTCGGGGAACACTGCATATTGTGGGCACACTCAGGACACACTTGGAGCACACAGTACACACTTAAGTACATTCTGGGCACACTTCCACAGTTTTACAAACAACCTGGTTGGACAGGTGGGCGAGTGATTTGCAGGGAAAGGTCAGCCTCCCCGGCACTCTGAGACCCCCCCCACTCCTGTCTCCAGCTCTTCTGAGCAAAGCCGCAAGCACAGAGCACAGTGGGGCTCAGCGAATGTGTCCAGTGCCCGGTGGAATCAGTTCCCGAAGAGCAGATGCCCAGCATCTAGGCAGGTCACAGGGACATGTGAGCGGGTCCCTGGGCAGGCTGGCGAGGGGTAAACCCGGCAACCTGGATTGGAGACTGGCTGTCAGTTCCAGAAAGAGGTTGCATCACAGTGCCCGATATAAAGGGCTTCGTCTGATGCTGGCTGGGCTGGGACGGCAGGAAGCCAATGAGAGGATTTAGGAAGCCAGTGAGAGGATTGGACTGTGTCCCCACTCTCCCCTGCAGAACCTCCACTGGCTCCCGCCTGACCCGGGAAAGGGAGGTGCAGGTTCACACTGACGCTCCCACACAGCGCCCTAGCTCCCACCTCTGGGAAGGACTCATCTTCCTGGGCAGCAGCCTGACCGGAGGTGAGGGCTGGCACCTCTCTCGGCTTCCTGAGTGCCCAGTCAGCCACACATTCTGCTCCTGGCCGGTGTCCAGGGCAGCAGTGGGGCATCCCCGGGGCTCCCCATGACACTGCAGCTCTCTGGTCGTGGGTGAAGGTAGAATTATGTCAACAGAAGAGTTGGGCTTTCCTATTTGCTTTGAGATGATTACATCTAGATTTTAAAAGCGGATTGTATCTGTGTGACTAGACAGTTATGGCCTTGGGCCAGAGAGGCTAGCACTTAACATACTGGCGTACGCGCAGCCAACCCTGACTCACTCCTAGCCCCATGTGGTCCCTGGAACATCAGCAGGAGCAGCCCCAACCCCACATACTCCCCCGCAACCCTGGACATGGCCCCAAACCACCACCCTCAAGAAATCATAAGCTTATCTCACTTATGAATATAATAATAATATTAGTGAGCTCTAAATAAAAGTCCACAAACCAAGATTCTAGAGGTTTCTGAAAGTCCCCAAATTTTACCAAAGTCCTTTGGAGGCCGCTCAGGGGGTTGGTAGGCCACGTGCTACGACGGTGCAGCTGAAGACTCAGTCCTCACTCGTGCTGGATGTGATCTAGCTCCCGGCCTGTCTCCCCTGCCCAGCTTGTCCCTCTACAATCAGAAGATTGGGGTCAGGGCAATGGCTCAGAGGACCAGGAGGCAAACCTGCAATGCTAGAGGCATAGCATTGAACCCTGAGCGCTGCATGGTTCCCTGAGCACCACCTGCATGACCCCCTTGCCCCCAGCACCAAGCCATCTCTAGCCCCTGAACACCAGGGGCTGTGGCCAAAAGTTGAAGAATAATTAAGCTGAAAAGATGGAGAGTTAAGGATGTAACTTAGCAGTAGAGCACATGCTTTATAGGTTGACCCCTGGCACTACAAAAACTGAAGAAGAAAAAGAGAGAAAGAAAGATCGAGGTCCAGGTGCCCTCAGAGGAAAGATGTTGTGCCAACATAGGAAAAGGCAAATCAAAAAGAGACCTCAAGGAAACTGAAATCAGCCCCCCAAGAAGCTAATACTTGGATTTAAACATTGAATCAGGACTCGAAAGAGTACAGTGGGGAAGGCAGTTGTCTTGCATGCGGCTGACTCAAGTATGATCTCCAGCACCCCATATAGTCC